TAATGAGATCTGGTGCCCTCTTCTGGCCTGCAGTCATACATACTATATACATAATAAATAAATAAATAAATCTGTTTTAAAAATTTCTATATAAAACAGTTACAAAAATATTCTTTTTAAAAAGGATTTATTTGTTTTTATCTTATGGATATGGATATTTTGCCTACATGTAAGTGTATATACCACATGCCTACAGTACCTATAGAGGCCAGAAGAGGGCATCAGATCACCTTGGAACTAGAATTACAGACAGTTGGGAGCCACTGTGTGGGTGCTGAGAGCAGAATCTGGGCTCTCTACAAGAGCAGCCAGGGCTCTTAACCACTGAACCCTCTGTCCAGCCACTATAAACATATCTTGAGTTAGAAAGAAATTAGTTGACTACACGGATTTACAGGTAACCTTTAAAGATGAATAATCAAAGCTGTAATATATTGATGCATATGTTTTTTAGTCCAGAAAAGTAATTAAACCTGATATGATCTTCATCAGAAAATGCTTAAAGCTGATTAGATATGTAAATCTAATTCTGTAGAGTTTGGTGGTAGATTTAGCCCCAAAGAGCTTCAAAACTCCGAGGAAGAGACCAGGGATATCGTTAAGCCTTGGAAACTTTGCAGCTGCTTGTGGTAATGTCTTCTTTGATACATTTGGTTATATCCACATGCCACTGGTATCTTCTCTTTTTTTAGTTCTGGTGAACAGGTTCAAGGCCATTTGTCCCTTGTTAATTGTTTAGCTCAGCAATTTGCTGCCACCTAGTGTCCTGGGTAAAGTGTCATCTATTTAATCTGAGTGTGATGGAAGAAACGGGCCCAACTATCCAGAGACCGCATAATACAAAACGCTGGGACTCCAAGTGACAAGATAACGATGCCCACTTATGCCACCCTCATTAATGTGTGTCTTACAGTATGAGTGGGGAGTGAGCTGGTCAACTTATGCTTTCAAATCCAGCTGAACCACTTCACACCTCTCCTAGCACCTTAGTTTCAACCCCAGTAAGTTAATGAGGAGAATTCTCCTAGCTCAGGCCTGATTAAACAATCTAGTTCAAACACAAAAGATCTCATAGAATTTCAGAATGGTTTACATGGAATTGGGTCTACCATTTTCAGGGACACTTTGGGATAGCTGGTCTTCCTGTAGGCAACATCCCTTCCAATTTTCTTTGCATAATTAGACTTCCTCCACTCCATGTTCCTATTTATATACAGCTACAGTTGGCCTATGGAAGTCTAGTTCTTCCTAAGATCTGACAGCAGCGAGCCTGTTCCACTTACAGCTGTTCTGAAGACTAGATTCTATTTTGGGAAATGAACATAGCACTGTTATGTAAAGTCTGAAGTCAGATTGATAGGCATTGAGGTGGGCAGAGTTATCAAAATCTGCAAGTCGGGTGCTTGGAGGGGAGGGATGTATTATCATGAGTGAGGTAGGAGGATGGGCGTGTCCGGGATGTCTGGGTGATGGGTTGGCAGTACCAGGCCCCACGGTTGTTCTTACGAACTGAGCCAACATCCTGGAGAACTTAGCTCTCCTCTGACCTTCTCGGAATACACAAGCACTGT